GCGAATCAAAAGTAAAAATCTGCAAGAATTTTGTAAAAACTAAAATTGGTTTTTTTTTTCATTTGTAGTTTAGAGTGCTCCTTTTCTGGTTATATACGTGGGAAATCTTGTATTTTTTCAAGATTTCATCTCAAAGCTCGAACGATGAGTCACACACTTGGTGTATAGGGTCGAGCAAAGTTCATGCTCGGCTGACCCGCGGTTGACTCGTACTACTTGGAAAAAAAACGTCAGCAGCTCTTTGCTAGCACTTTCATGCCCCTCCCCCCCCAGCTTCTTTTTCATGGCGTTTCAACAGGTTTCCGTTGAATCAAATCGCATTTTCATCGGTGAATGCCGTCATTCGCGAAACGCCATTAAACGCCACGCTCCTTTGACTCCCCGAGTGCTCCACCCCCTCCACTCAAGCTGCGCACAATTCCTTTTGGACACCTCCTTTGAATCATTCGCCAAACTCTCGCTCGACGCGGCCAAACACACGGACCTGGAGGATAAAAAAATGGCAGTGCTAAACCCCCCCTCTGCCCCTTCCAACCTCGCAAGCTCCAACGCTATACATCTGGTGGAATTTCGCCGGAGCGTCGGCAATGCGTTTCTTGCGCCACTGCGTATTAGCGCGAGTAGGTAAATTCCATGGCACGAGGCAAACGGAAGGGAGAAAGAAAACGTTGGCCAACTGCCAGGGCTGGCGGGAGGGGCTGGGAAAGGTTACTGCAGTCGAAGAGAAAAGAAAAATTTGAAACAACGCGCGATAGGGGAGAGCTGCGTTCATCGATCCGAACGAGCGACGAGCTGTGTCCCCCCTAAAGCTGCTCGTCATTGACGTTCGCATCGGGTTATGGTATATATATATGCCTATATACGAGTGCCCTCTGTCGATCTAGCCCCTAATTGTTTTCATTTAAGGAGTAATAAACAGCGACAAACTCGGTTTTGTTTGGCTGCGACGAGTATACAGGTATACACCTCGACACAGAGCGGATTGTAAATGGCCACCAGAGATGTTCAGTGGATGTTAGTCGAGTGGATAAAGATACTGTTTTTTTTTGTTTTTGTTTTTTTCAACACACACGTTTTAATGTGCCCTTCAACGTGATGATATGCTCATCGGCAAACTCAGAGCCGAGACCCATTTAAATGTCGTTAGCGCGATGGGATTATTCGATTCGTGTTCCGAGAGGCACACGAACGTGCATCGGTGCGCTCGTATTCCGACAATAAAGTGCGTTATAACGAGAAACTCGCGCATACATGTGTCCTATAACTGTTGCCTATGTGAATATTGTCGCGAGGAGAGATAGCATAGCACGCAAGCTATGGTGAACCGTGAAACCTCCGTCAAGTCAGGTAAACGCTGAAAAATGGGGGTGTGGCCTTATTTGATGTGGAAACGTGAAAGTAAATCATCGCATGGAGACGTACGGGTGAATTCGAGTCTCGGATGATGACAAAATTGCTCTGCCTCCGAATCAAATGACTGCCATTATATTCGGGCCGCACCTACGGTATATATACGGTATGTACGCCACACGATACCGTGAGAATACATATATATATACACACACCCACACGGTGGAGGCAGGGACGGAGCATCGAATCATCTATTCGTCATATATATAAGGGTGGTGTGTATGTACCTATAGACACACGTATAAGTGCTCGGCAAAGGGATGAGAGAGGGAGGGACCAGAAGCGAAGCTAGCTCTCGGTAATGAGCACTAATGCAAGGGACGATAAATTCACCCGGACGCGTGTATTATAGCTGTGCCGGGCAATACGTACGCGCACATGTATACACATATATATACACGTGTGCACTTGTCCCAGCGGCAGCGTATGGCTATTATTATTTGTTACGGTGGCTTCTTCGGAACGAGATTGCTCCGAAACGAGGACGTGCGCGTTGTGTGACGTGCAATAGTTGGCTCTGATGGACATTTTGACGCACTGGACGAACGAACCGGAGATTATATATACAGAGGAAAAATAGAAACCAGTCGGCCACATACCGTGCATTACTCTGTACTTTATTTATAACCGTTAAAAGTACCAGCTACACTGATGAAGATAGTATTTGATCAGCGAAGCTGTGATGCACTTAAAATAGGTATGTAGTCGTGTCTGATTGAGCCACAGAGTTGCAATAAAATTACGAGGGTGAAAAAAAAAGGAGCAAAATGAATGCCTTTTTTTCATACAATTTTAATTAGAGTCGTGAAAATGGCATAGGCCACAGAATCTTGAAAGTCAAAGTATCGCGTAGTTTATATTTTGTTTACACGCGCAACGTACCGAGTAATATGGAAAACAGAAGCTCAGCCAAGCGCAACACTGGTAAAGCAACAAAACAAATATTATTACAAAAGCAAACGATGCGCAAAAGAAAAAAAAAAAAAACAAAAAAAAAACAAAAAAAAAGACGCAAACAAATAAAGGTACGAAACCCAGAGGGAAGAGAAATCGCGAAAATGAAAAAATAGAGAGAGAGAGAGAGAGAGCGACAAACAAAATAGAAGCGTATATACGCGAGCCTGAAAAAAAGGGCCACAGGGAGGACGAGGGTTACACGTTTCATTGCTGCGATTCAGTCTGTTGGGGGTGATAAGCTCGAAGCAATGAAAGGCATGTTACGTATACGTACACCCCCAGCAGAGTGTCAATGCGATGAAATTGCATTTCTCGGAGCTATGGATGTATTTATATACATGCAGCTGTACCATGTGCCGTCACGCTTGCTTTTACTTTAAATAAAAGGGAGAAAAAACATCATCAACAAACAAACAGTGCTCGTTGCGGTGATGGCCGGCATTATCTAAATTAATCGGTTGGCTGCGATGCTAATGGCCACATAATGGATGATAAACATGGGTCATTGGCTCAATAACTTTGTTGAACACCGCAAGACTGATGAATCAGAGAAATACAACAATATGCTCCCAGTGCCAGTTACCCTTGGTTTTTTTTTTTTTTTTTTTTCATACGCTACTAGAAGATGATCCTAACGATACGCGTATACCGATGAAACTTTAGCCCGAGTACATATCTAATATTCATTCCTTCATTCATTATTCGGTATTTACTCAATGAAATTGCGGGTGATGTAAAATCTGGTCTATGGGTTAGCACAATATTATCATCGTTGTCAGAGTCTACGATATTTATGCGATTGAACGAATGTAACACTCGTTACGCTTCTCTGATGAATAAAAAATTCGTGATGCGGGATCCAGTTGAGATGAGCCAAGGTGGGAATATAGTATACTTAGCACCCTGAGACTATTCCCCGGAGAAGTTTCCACGTTTCTACACTCGGATATTCGTTACCTACTCGCCTATAATAGCTATAGGCACGAGGAAGCGCGCGCTCGTGCATAAATGAAGGAGATCGGCATACGCGTGCATCTACTCTTATTCCCATTCCCAGATCGGATTCGCACCACCTACAAATATTACACTTGTGTATATTTATATATACGTATATATGTATTATATAGATAGAAATACGCCAGGGAGGTACGTCGAAAGCTGTTGCGCACCTTATACAATAAAGCCACACGTCGTTGTAGTGGCTGTATACGCCCCCGACAATATACCCACGCTAGATCACTTGACTTGAATTTCACTTTGAAATCACATCCTATACGGACGCATAGATTTTACATAGATGTGCCTTTCCCTGCGTATATGCGTGTGCATATGTATACACGTGCATCATCTCAATCTCACCTCTGACCAGGTCATCGATACTGTACGGGTGTGTACATGTAGAGGCATGTATACACACGATTGCAGTGACGCGTGCAACCCGAGCCTACATCACATATCTATACGTGATATCCAATCGGTGCATCGGGAGTATAGTAGCGAGGGAGGAAGATATAGTGACATGTAGCCGGATTTGTCCGCGATGTGTGCATGTTCCCTGATGGTCGAGTGCAACTCACCGATTTCGTATTCGTCCATCGAGTACGATAAATCGTAAAATTTATACTATATTTATAACATCGCGTTACCTATACGTTTACAAATAACTGTTTACCATCACGTTCATTATTTTCATGAATTGACAAAATTATAAGGCAGTCCTGGTTCGATGTAACTTTGAGTACTTGGTTTAGAATACGAAAATTTACTGAAAATCGCATAATTTAATTTAATTTCCTTGGCTCTGGCATCTCGTATATATGTATGATACCAAACATCCAACTCAATCAAGATATATTGCCATCATTGGGAAGAAAGGATGCCAATCGTGTAATTGCTCAACTCGTCGTTCTGGTTTAAAACAAGTACATACGTGTACACAATATACAAAGACCACAAACGTGCAGGTACATCTTGGTAAATTACGGGTAACTTTATTTCAGCAGCTCGTGAGCTCGGCTGTTTGTCTTACCACAAGGAGCCGTAAAGAGTTTGATTGACTTGCAGAACAATGAAAATACGCGTCACTCGATTAATCTCACAGCTGATGGATGATTTAGTTTTATAATACTTCCCACGAAACATTGTCCCAACTGTTTGACTTCGACTGAGGGTGCCTGTACATGGAAGACCTGCTGTTTGGCAACTTCCCGTCAAAACTCTCTGGTCTCATGAGAGTGAGAGAGAGGTTAAATGTGGTCACGTGATAAACCTCTCCCTCTCACTCTCATGAGACCAGAGAGTTTTGACGGGAAGTTGCCAAACAGCAGGTCTTCCATGTACAGGCATCCTGACACTCCGAGTACATGTACATATACAAGGGATGTGACAAAGGTTATCTGGGGTCTAATTTAGTGCTTCGAGTTCGAGTTGTGTGATGGTTAATTTTGTACTCTATCGCGCACATACATCAAATCACTGAATCAGATACACCTACCTGCGAAAAACGCCTACTCTAATGCTTTTTGCTTGAGTTTGGCGAAAAATGAATGAATAAATAAATAAAAAAAACTCCCATGATTGTGTTACAATGTATACGTGTATTAATGGGTCCATTTGTTTTGGCTTGGTTGCAGGAAGCAGCGAGGCATGGCTAAAGAGCGAGAAACACGCAGAAATCGGTACTGAAGTCCAGCTGCCGTGTGTACTGAAGCTGCGCCAGTGCATCGGCCTGCACAGCATCAAGTGGTACCAAGGCAACGAGCGCATCTTCGTTTACAGCGCTGAAGGCGACGTGACTCTGGCAAACGACGACATGGCTGCTAGGTACGATCCTTTTTTTTTTTTTTTTTTCGTCGCATGTTTTTATTTTTAGGCATTTTACGCAAGAGTGATCCATACGAAGTATATTCCATTACACGTCGTGAATGGTATGAAACATTTAATTGAAAAAAGCTGTGGATAAAAGGTTGTTTTGTAACTATGTTTGTTTGATGGAAAAAAAAAAAAGTTTTTAATACCTACTATATTTTCAATGTAATTTTTTATTGTTACACAATGCCATTACTTTTGTACTTTTTTACTATTGTTTTTCGTGAATTTTTCGTAAAATTTGATTTTTACGAACCAAAAATTCTTAACTTTCTCAACTCAAAATTTTGAATAAAACTTTTTTAGGAATTCAGTTGTTGTGTAATGTTATAAGTACACTTTAAACTTTGTTCATCAATGTGAGTAAATTTTCGTTTACTGCTTCAATTATACCATTGAAGTTAAAATCTTTCCTAGCAATCTTAGACAAATAAAATGTTTTTTGAACGTTTACAGTTGAAATGAAGTGCTACGCGAATAATCGGAAAAATATTCAATCGAGTACACAAATTCATTGATAAAATACACACACACACTCGCCGCTGCGCAGCTTTTGTAAACTCAGAAAATTCGGTTCAGCGTTTCATAAAGTTGCAAGAGAATTAATTTTTTTTACCAATATCAATACACAACATTGTTTTCAAAGTTACCGTACACTGCTATATTTTATACTGTTATTCACGTGCAATATTCAAAATCAAACCCGGTCTCTTGTAGCGTGCATGGCTACATGGCTAAACAACCCGTAAACCCCACGTAAAATGATTCCAAGTTCGCACGATCTCTGTAGTTATCACACTTCGTCTAACTGTACACATATAATACTTATCTATGTGACTTTGGAAACTAATTTTTCAATGCGAGCACCTATAGCACGTATCATCGAGCACACCTTTGGCGTATCCGTGTACAGCGAAACTGCTTGGTAATTTTTCGCAACTCGATTAATAAACAAAGTGCCACGCTTAATTAACCCGGGAGGGGAAACAAAAAAAAAAAACCATCGAGTGAAAGGATCGTTAATGAAAATTCGATAGTCGAGTGGCTTGGCAGGCGCGAGCGCCGTAAGAGTTGATTAATTGAGAAGAGACGTGGAGCGACACGGAATGAATCGATCGAGGGTAGCAAGAGAGGAAGAGCATTTTGCGTATACCCTTGTTTTAAAACCAAATTCATCATTAAACTTTGTCACAAAGAAGCCAGGGCAATAGTAATATCCAGCTGTACTATATACGGGTACGACTAGTCAGAAGTTGAAACTTCAGACGAGGACGTAATGTTAAGAAGAGAGAGAGATGGAGGGAGCACAAGTGATATGAACATATATACGCAGGAGTAATAACATGGTTTGTCGGCTGACTGCTTTGGACGTACCTACGTGTTACGGAATACCTGCAAGTTCGTAAGCGTGGACGCGTATAGGTAGGAAGGTATACATATATTATATACCCACGAAACTTGTGCACAAGGCAACAAGCAACGCGATGGTTTGTGTGTACTTTAGGCGGTACGGGAGACCGCAGCAGAGAGAAGGCAGATCGAGACACGTTATAAGTGCATTTGATTAGTAATTAGCATTAAATGCCAGACGCAGTTTCCCACATCTGAATGTATTAATTTGCGGCCGAGCTCGCAAAGTAGCGCGTCGGACCGTGGCCGTATACACACGTGTTATATGTGACTGGCGCGGCATCACGTGGATTCGCGTTTGTCTCCGCAGAGCTGCGCCCAACTGGCCGGTCTCCAGCTTTTGGACAACCTGCAGTTTCTATGGTATCCGGGGGGCCGACCAACTACATGCTTATTTTCCCGACGTTGCTCGCCTTGACACTGATATACACGCCATGCTCGATTATTTATCGATCGATGATTTTTGACTTGTGCTTCGTTCAGCGTCTGCTTCACGTGATTTTACACACTTTGACATTTCATCGTTTATTACTAAGTGTATACACGGCGCACTGGTATAGAGTGTCAAAGTGTAGCTGTACGCGTACCTATAGCCAAAGGTGCCGTAGCTTACGGGTGATTCATCGGCCAAGAGGAGCCACCGATCTCGCGAAATGGTCTCTTCGGCTCCGCGGAGGACGTGAATGAAAATGGCTTAAAAACCTCGGGGGAGGAAGGAAAGAGAGATAGATACAAGCGAATGGGAGACAAAAAGAGAAAGGGGGGGCACTTGGGATTTAAGCGGCCATAAAAACATCGGCTAAATCACCTTGAGATGAAATTCAGCGATACTTGAAGCACGGAAGGAGAAAGGGGAGGATCAAGAGAGAGAAAACGAGGTAGGGGAAGGGAAAACTTTTACATCCTCGGCTCGGAAAAGTCTATCCGCTGCTGGTCCTTTTTCCGCCTCTCTCTCTCCCCCTCCCTCGTTTTCTGGTATATATTTATATACACGAACGGCTAGCTAGCTCGTGAAGTGTCCAAAGTGACTTAAGAGCTTCATTTTCTGCGCCCAACAATACCAAAGGGAAACAGAGTCAATTGCAAGTCCATGGTTGCTCCGTTGTTTCGTTTGGGAGGGGAAAAAAAAACAACGGTAGACAAACTCTAGCGTGTACGATGTATTTTTATACACGTGTAAAAAGGACTGTGACCCATGCCAATGATTTGTGTATACCACCTTTGTAGTTTTTATATCAAAACTGCCATCAATCTTATGTAATCTTTTTCGGATAAACTTTTCATCAATTTATCGGGAATGAGGGGTTGTTTTTCCCATCACATCGTTTTAATTAATTCCAAGCATCACCCAGCATCATCATTGTTTTTCTCGATAAACTAAATTTCTGTTCGGTCGTTCGATCAATGAATAAATTTCTTCATTTCCCCCGTAAAATTGGTTGGCTAGGCAAAAGACCCTTGTACAATGCATATTACAACACAGGTAATGGCAGCACTGCAGAGAGAGAGAGAGAGAGGAAATTTTGCCTGCAGTATAATGTACGTATAACACTGCAGTGCTCGAATTTCACGATTTCAAAGTACATCGGAAATTTACAATGACATGAATTTACAATCCCTACAACAGCAAGCGTGTACGCCAAGACACAGGAGTACCTACACCCATGCATACATACACACAGAGAGAGAGAGAGAGAGCACAGTGGAGTAAGGGTGGAGGGAGTAACTCGCATTCGCAATATTTAGCGCGAGTCAGCGAGATTTGTTGGTTACGTTGAATGCAAAATTTAATGTCTCCCGCTCTCTCTGGCAACAGGAGCAGTCGTAATTGCTCCCCGCGTTTCCGACATTGCGTGCAGTATATACACATATACACGTGTGTGCGTAGCCGCACACGATCTCATACCCGCCCCCCATACCCCTTGCGCAAGTACAATGGTGCATATACGCTACAATAGACTATAAGATCCGCGATCGTTCATCAATTTTCTTTTTTCCAATGAGGTGCTATGCTCTCCTTTCAACGTGGTCGCACCCACGCAGCTACACTAAAAGTAAAGAAAAAAAATATATATATAAACTATACAGAGAAATTCCAGCAAAAATTACCATTCCGCACAGTAAATCGAATGCAAGGTGATGGCAAAAAAGGAAAAGATTATTATTTTTAACAGTCAAGATTATAGTTTGAACAGTTAGAATTATGGTTCGAAAAGAAAAAATTATGGTTAGAACAGTAAAACATTTCTATGCGGGAAAGTAAAATTTATCAATCGATCCTTTTAAGGTTGACTGTTCTTACATGGTATTTTTTACTGCTCTAACCGTGATTTTTACCATTAATACCACAATTTTTACTGTTTAAACAATAACTTTTCACTTTTTTGCCATCACCTTGCATTCGATTTACTGTGCGGAATGGTAATTTTAGCTATGATTTCTCTGTAATTTTAATTATTTTTTTTTCTCCAAGTGTAGCTATGTCTCTTGGACTCTCAATCGACTAGAAATTCATACAGGATTTACCAACTCGCGAATAAGTCAACCGTCAATGGGAAAGGGGGTGGGTAGAAAGTATCCCAAAATCCGGAGTTAACGACGAAGGCAGCCATCGACCAAAGGGATAAGCTAAAGGAGATTACCAATAACAAGGTTTTTTAAATGCACCGCTGTACAGGTGTACCCATGAATATTTAGGTATGCGTGCATCGGTGGTGGATGGTCTCCCAAGGGACTTTTTTTTCCACAAAGGTGGGGTACACAACAACCACCGAAAGTGTCTCCGGAGGACGCTTCGTTTTCGTCCCTTCTTTTTTGGCCCGTACACCCCTGCACTTAACTTATAACTAGAAACACGAAATGACTACTGAAAGTTTCAACCGGCCGGCCGGTCGGGGGCCCGAGCGCTGCCCCGTTTTATTTGGACACGGAGTCGCTCTTTCGAGTTGGCTTCATTATCGGAAACGAAAAGCAATCAATGATTCAGCTGCCGCTGGACGACCACTGGGAGGAGACGCAACTCTGGGGCGAAAAAAAAAAAAAAAAAAAAAAAATTGGAAGGGAAGAAGCAGCGGGCTACCGGCTAAAAGGCTCGCCCCAACTTAATGTGACGTCCAGTTATGTCGGAAGCGAGTTAACAAGTACAAAGTTTCGAGGCCGGTGGATCAAAACGGCGCGGGGGAGGGGCGAAGAGAGAGAAAGAGAAAACATATAGAACAATGTGCCTTTTACTCGGTGACTCGAAAAATAAAAGCCAATAGTTGGCGCTGGAGTTTTTTTATTTGCGATATCAGGACGCTTGTCGTCCACCCACGCACACCCACGAGGGGACAGAGGTAAGGGGGTGGGGGGTGGAAATAAGTGGCGCAACTTTGCAGTTGCAGACGGGGGTCGGGCGGTAAATCTCGAGGCTTCCTCAATGCATACGAATGCACGTGCCGTTTCTACTATTGTCGCTGCGATGTGTATATATATATATATATATATATA